AAAACACTAAATAAGTGAAATATATTTTCAAATAAGTAAATCATCTGCAAATGGTAAAGATCAAATTTAATGCATAGAAACACCTCAGTTTCCCTTTGAAAATAATGATTTGGGGTAGTAACTTTTTAAGGTATTTAAAACAGAAACTTATTCTTTCTCAGGGATATTATTATTTCAAATATGTTGTAGTAATTTGGATATTTGACTAATATCTGGGAAAATATAGTTTTGCGCTTTTAGAATTGCATGGATTTTAACAAAAAAGAAATATACTACCTATTATAAGCAAAGTATCTTAATTAATTATTGAATATTTAATACTGGTAAATCACCATTTAAAATGATAGACAGAATTTACACAGTGAAATCTAAATCAAAATATATTTTAAATAATCTATAATAATGATTAAGTATTCAGAAACTAAGGACCATTTAACTAATGGCAAGACACTCTTTAACAAGGTATTAAAACTGTCAAAAATTTCATGGGACATAGCCAACTCATGGTGAGTTCCTACTGTATTCTAAGTAACTGGGAAAGTCACTTTGCATGTAAATGTGTCTGTGTCACAATTTCAGTTAGGATGATTTGAGACAGATAAGTAATTGTTGCCATTTTAGAAATGAGGAAAAAGACACTTGGAAAGATCACCTTCCAAGGTCACCATGGTATAACTGAAATTTTAATTTGGATATATCAGACTCCAAAGTGCCTCCAGTCTTTTGATATTAACTTTCAGTTTGTTTATTTGGAATGGATATTGGAGGTACAATTTTCCCTAAGAGTTATGAGATTAATTTGAAATCATCTAGGAAAAGAGCCTGGCTCATTACAGGCATTCGATTTCCTTCCCATTGATTTATTTTTTTTCCCTTTTTTCTAAACATGCTTATCAAGATTTAATGGCTATGCAAATACACCATATATATTTAAGGCACACCATTTGATAAATTTTGACACAAGTATACAGAATAAAGATAATCAACATAGTCAATACTCTCACATTTACTCATTATGTTGTCCATTTGTAGTCTCTTCATGCCCTCCTTTGCAATCCTAGCAACCACTGCTTTGCTTTCTGTCACTGGAGTTTAGTTTTCATTTTTAAATTTTTCTACAAAAGGAATCTCACAGAATTTACACTTTTGGTCTGGCTCTGTTCATGTAGCGTGATTATTTTGCAGTTTGTCCATGTTGTTGTATGTGTCAAAACTTCTTTTTTTTTCCTATGCAAGTTATATCATTATATTATCATATATATATATAGCACAATTTGTTCACTCTGACCATCAGCTTATTTTTTTTTAATTTTAAAATACTTAAATGACAAAGATTGAATACGTTGAGAATATACAATAAGAATTATATACTTGAATCAAATTGTGAAATATGATATATCAAGAACTATGTAATGTTTTGAACAGCCAACAATAAAAAATTAAAAAAAAAAAAAAGAATTATATACATACATATTATGCAATGATTGTAACAATCAAATTAATTAACATACCCACCATCACCCATAGTGTGTTAGATGCCCAGAACTTGTCAATTTAATAACTGAATGTTTGTGTCCTTGGATCAACACCTCCCCATTTCCCTTAACCCCATCCCTTAATAACCACCAATGAATTCCCATCCATTTGGATCACAAACTACTGAATGCTCATGTTTATATACAATCTACCCCTGGCAGTAAAGGGAGCCAAGGAAAGAATAGAGAGACATTATTTTTTTAGAAAAATTTGTTCCATCTTTCCTTTTAACTCATTTGATCAATTATGATGCTTCACTGGCGTATTATCAAAATGTATATTTACCATCAGCTTATACCACTATGAAGGTAATAGTGGGAAAAGCCTATATAGAAATATGATCATATTCTAGCTCACTGTGTAACAGATATTGAAAGATTAAGTATTCCAAAACCAAAACCTAAATTCATATTTAGGATATGCATTGTTTGATATTTTACCATATTTTTGATAACATTCATTTGCAGAAAAGTCATCTTATTCAGTTGTCCAAGGATTTCATTTTACCCAGTTAATTTCAGAGGATTCATTGGTTAACATTACACATTCTATTAAGCTTTCAAACAAGCAACCCATACCTTGAAATTGACTCAGGAAATTAATAGAATTTCTTATGCCACTTTTATTCTTTAAAGTACGTGAACAAACTACATAGCATTATTATTAGTTTTTGTAAAGGAAATTCAAAATTTAAAGAGGTTAAGTTTTGTCCCAAAGCACATACATTTAGCTAAGACTTCAGATTTGCAAATCATTCTTTCGGCTTCATTCTGACTGGCAACCAAATATAACTGAAATTGTTATATTATTGGTACTTTTTTCAATTATTTTAATTGTTTATGAAAATATTCAAAAACACACAAAATAGAATATTTTATTTCATGAAACTCTAACTCTATGAGTTCCTCCTACTTCCATGCACCCATTACCCAATTTTGATCATTTTCAACAATTTCTTAACTTAGTTTCTTCTATTCTTTTGCCCACACTTGTTGGTAAAGCAAATCCCAGACACCATATTGTTTCAACTACCTACAACTCTCAAGTTTTCCTTAATAAACCTAAACAAAATATCATTACAACAAATAAACTATAACTTACTGTATAAATTAACAAAATAAAATATAATCCTATAACTCACTCAAATCTAAAAGTTCTGATTAACTCAGAATTTTAAAATATTTTTTGCTATTGTAACTTAAGTGATACATAAAAACATAAAAAAATTACATATTTATAGAGCACCCTATGCTGTCCTAATACATGTATATATGTGTAATTTATAAGTCAGATTAAAATATATTCTTTGAATATATTTTAAAATGAGTATACCAACAAGGAAGTTCCACTGCATTTAGCTTTTTTAAATATATGGCTGTCTTTCCTCCCCTATCATCAGGTCAGTTATCTGTCAAATAAATCACACTATTTATCCTATAGAATTCCTTGGTTACCTATTGACAATCTTCTGACATTTAACAATTTCTGTCCACTCATCCCATTACTTCCTAAAAATCATGGTTCCATCTAAATTTTTTTAAATCACAAATTAACTGGGCATGATAGTACATGCCTGTGACTAGGGAGGCTGATGCAAAAGAATCAAAAGTTTGAGGTCAACCTCAGGAAATTAGTGAGGTCCCAAACAACTCAGCAAGACTGCATCTCAAAATAAAAAAAATAAAAAGGGCTGGGGATGTAGCTCAGTGGTAAGATGTCCATTGGTTCAATTACCAATTTCAGAAAAAAAAAGGACTAAAAATCCCAAATTAGCAAAATTCAGTTATATTCTTGTTCTTTACAAAAAATTAAATACCTTTAAAATTATGAGATTTGTTTCTGATCTGTTGTCATATTGTCAGAAAAATCCTCACTCATTTTCTTGGAGACTTTAGTAGTTATGGGATTGGGAATGAAGATTCAGCAAAACACCAAGAGGAAGAAAATATCTATTTATTACACTTAAGTGATGTTTAGGGGATTGAATAATATACACATTGACAATTTATTCCATCATCATAAAGCTCAACATCAAGAATCATTCTTATAATGCAATAGCAGGATGGACACCTCTCATTCCTTTTAATGACTCTTAAGTACAATATTGTATATTTAGTAAGTGTTCTATTGATGAAAATTTGAGGTGTCCTAATATTTGCTATCACAAGTATTTTAATGCATAAGCACATATTCTGTATTTTCTCAGTATCATAGGATCACAAATATAGAAACTGCATAGTTGAATCTAAAGGTAAATGCAAACTAGATATTTAAAAAAAGTACAATTCTTGAGACTAATACATATGAATCCCAAATTTTAGAAGCTATCTAGGTAAAAGTGAGAAAGATCTACATATATAAAAGGTTATCTATCAAATCAACTGCAAGAATAAAATTGTGAAAAATTTGTATCTTAAAATATTTTCAACAAAAAATTTTACAAACAACTTCATTTCAGATTTTAGTCTAACATACAGTGTAAAAAAATGTAAGTATCACTATTAACATATTTTGGAAATAGTTAATATGATTATCATCTGTGGCATAAAGACACTGCATAAACAGATTTTCATCATAAAATGTTATAGTTAGAAACTACTGTAGAGATTATGTCTAATGCCCATTAGATAAAAATAACGATGTTATGATCCAAGAGTTTGATTTTTCTTAAATTTATTCAGTAGAATCCAAAAATTTAAAGCTCATATTTAATAATATTTCACATGAACTTTAAAATTGACTATATTTAAGGTATTATCAGAAATAAAAAAGGAATATAAAAGTTTACCTTTGTTGTCAAATATCTAAATTTGAATAATTAATTCTTATAAGCTACATGGAATAATTTGGAAATAGAAAACATGATATTTTATGCTTTAATATAAATTTGATTTTTTATGAACGTAATCGTCCCTTTAATTCATTCAACATGGATTTATTACTCACATACTACAACCCTATGTGTGTTTATGTGTTTATGAGTATGTGTTTGTGGACACTATTTGGAATTATTAATTTTGAGCCAAATATTACTACATCAGCATTAATCTGTGTAGTTATGGGGGAAAAAAACAATGTCTACAATTTGGAATAGTAAATCTAGATCCACAAAACTTACATTTGGATATATAAAATAAATGAAAAGTGGGATTGTAGTTAATATTTTTACCCTAAAGTAGAAAATGTTAACTTTTTACATTGTTCAGTATTCAATTGGAATTCTTTTCTTTGACAAGAATCTTATTTTATAGTTGTTTTCCTATTTTATAAATTTCTTCCAACCAGATCAAGGTTTCCATAATGAACTTCAAAAATTATAAACCCATAGTACATTTTACAGTTCCCTTGCATATAAAATATAAAGGGAGATTTAAAAGACTGAATGCAGTCTCAATAATATTTAGCTTATCAGTGTAAGCTAAGTGACAAATATCAGTTATATTATGTATTTGTTCAACACTTACCTGAAGGATGAAGATTCTGTTCTTCTAAAAATTCTAAATCGAGCATTAGATCATCTTCATCTAATTCACAGGATCCCAGGTTATTTAAAACATCCTAAAAGAAAACCAATAATTATAAACTGATATGCTGAGAAATGGAGGAAGTATGTACATGCAGAAGCCATGAAGCGGTAAGAACTCAAAATCTCAGAAATGAGAAGTACCCACTGCATCTCAAAAGATATTTAACTCTTAGAGACTCTAAAATTATCAGTCCAATAAAAAATTAAAAATCATTTTAAAAATTACCAATTTTCCATTTATTTTATTTTATTTTTTTAGTTGTAGATGAACACGCAGTATCTTTATTTATTATTATGTGGTGCTGAGGATTGAACCTAGTGCCTCACACATGCGAGGCAAATGCTTTATCACTAAGCTACAGCCCCAACCCCTCCAGTTATGTTTTTTAACTGATATATATCTGTTAAAATTTATATCATTCAAATTATAATGCAATGAAAACACATATGAACAGGTGACAAACTTATCACAATATAGGAAAATATTTCTATATATTAGATATACTGACAATATTAGATATACCAAGAGTAGGGAGTTTTAAACAAACTACAGAGATATGAAAAAGACTTTGCTGATCAAAAATTAAATATATATATATATATATATATATATATATTGCTTTTAAACAAATGTTTTATAGACTACCAACTGTGAAGTACTAATTTAGACAATATATGGAAGTAGGGATCCAGTTAACATATTCAAATCATTTGCACTAAAATAAATTTAAAAATTAGACTAAAAGATAATTATTGATATTAATTATAAAATAACACAACAAAGATGAGATGTAATTCCTATTTTTTTCAAGACATATAGCAAAATCAACTGGATGGGTATACAGTGTTGAGAAGTTCTGAGGGGGTTGGAGATGCATACAAGAAGGAATTCTTGAGGGAGGAATAAAATCCTGATTTACATATTTGTGTATGTACATAGATGGGTGTATTAAGAAATATAAGAGCTTACATTTGTGGACTAAGAATGAAATAACAAAAGTAGAAAAAGTATAACATCAAGAGAAATAGCCTATGTCAGATTACTTTCTCAATTGATGGGAATGTTACCATAATTTACGTTGAAAGAAGTAAATATTCATTAAGGAAAGGCTAATGATATTGTCAAATGGATACTGAACACTTTAATTCTTGGAATTAAACTAAGGACACTGGGACTTTTAAATAAATCACTATCACTTTAACAAATAGAATTAAACATTATTAAACTTTAGAAACATGTGTGATCCATGAATAGAGCAAAATGGTTTGAAAGGTGATATATATTCTCAAATCTAAGTGCTTCTTTTTCCTAACAAAGATAAGTAATACTTTAAGCTATAAATAAAATCAACTGTTTATTGGAAGCTCAGTAGCCCAAGAAAGCCCAAGTAGCTCATCTATATACAACAAAGGATGGTGTAGGCAACAAAAAATAAGCTGCCACACTAAAAAGAGCAAAATAGGAGATTAAAACAACAGTGCTGGGCGCAATGGTGCAGCCTGTAATTCCAGTGACTCTGCAGGATTGTGAGTTCAAAGCCAGTCTGAGCAATTTAGTGAGACCCTAAGCATCTCAGCCAGACCCTGTCTCTAAATAAAATACAAAAAAAAAAAAAAGAAAGAAAGAAAAAAGGGCTGGGATGTGACTCAGAGGTTAATTGCCTCTGGGTTCAATCCAGGTACAAAAAAAACCATCATAAGTTAAATGTGGAAAAGGAATGTTTAAAAGGGTGATTTTGTGAAGACACCATTATCAATGTCTATGAAGTACTATCCAAATGAAAGACTATTAATCTAATAGTCAAGAATATATTAGTTAAACAAAAGAGACACTTTACTGTGAAACAGTAGTAATTTACTCAAATTTAAATCAGGCTAAATAATTTAACACTTGGACTTTCAATTCATTGGACTGAATTATGAACCTTCAAAATTCATATTCAATCCTAATCCCAACTAGCTTAAAATGTGACTATATTTGGGGAGGAGGTTCTTAAGGAGGGAGTTAAGGTTAAAAGATGTCACATACGTGGATTCTAATCCCATGTGATTAGTATTTTTGTAAGAAGAAGAAATTAGGACAGAAGGACAATACTGTGAGGACACAGATAGAAGACAGGCCATTTGTAAACCAAAAAGAAAAGTTTCCAGAGAAACCAAATCTGCAAACAATTTGACCTGGAACCTACAGCCTTCAGGACTGTTAGAAGGTAAATTTCTGTCCTTCAAGCCCCTTAGTATTTTGTTATAGAAGCCCTTGGAAACCAATACAACCAATAACATTGAGAAAGCAAGGAGGGAAGGAACAAAGGGAATAAATGAATACTAGGTATATTGAGGTCACTTTTTTTTTATTATGTCAAGTAAAGGCATTTTACATTTTGTGTGCTTCTATTCCATGGTTTTCACATTCTTCCTTTAATTGGAACCACTGCAATTCACCTAGCTTCCAGGTTCTTTTATGAGCCAAACTCCCTACTCTTGATCCAAGATGGGTATTTTACCCAACGTCTTGACCAGAGCCATGTTCCAAAACCAAGAAATATGTCTGGTGATCAATACTGCGAGATGCAAAGTGCCGCCAACAGAGGATCCATGGATTTCATTGTGTGGCCAAGACCAGCCTAAATGTACTTAAAAAATAAAATCATCATGACAGAAGGACCCCTGGTTCCTGGTTTCAGAAATTCCTGAGACCCAGAAGCAAACATTATCTTTTCAAGGAGGTTTGTTCAGGCCCTTTTGAATTTTCAAAATTAAAACATCCACCCACAATTTGAAAATAATTTTTAAATTACTTTTAATAGAGAAATGCTTGAAACTCTGACACTGGTATTCCAAAATTTCATATAGGAAAGTAAAGCTGATAAAAGGATCAAATTAAATTTGGAAAACACACTGCATTGTTCTTATTTTACTCCCATGTTGCAGGTGATGCTTGACATTTGTGCTAGTAGGGCTCCATCACTGGTCTAGAAGAGTTGCTTCTTAAATCTACTTGTTCTAAATTGCCTTGCCTTGATATTATGTTTACAGAGCAACATCCTTGTTGCTCTTCTACAAAGTCTTTGAAGCTGGAGAAACCTCATAATAAAGATGAATGGATATAGCAAGGTGAAATGTTACACAAAAAAAGTCAGTGTGAACTCATAAACCTAAAATATTTGGTTTTCCAGATCTCCTCCTAAAAAAGACAAAGAGCAGCAGCATTACTTTTGTCTTCAGTCAGCTATTGAACAACCCTAGCATCTGGACGCTTGTTGTCTGATAGCCCCTAACAAGAAAGAACCAGGATTCCTTAACTATTATAAGGAAGAAAGGAAGGAAAAGAAGAGTTATGGGGGCGGAGAGAAAAAGGAAACACAAGGCATACTGGAACATATCATTGTTGCTAGAGAAAAAGTCAGTTTGTTTCAAAAGGCTGGCTAAGAAAATCAACCTAAATGGAAAATCCATGGCTAAATGTTGACAGTATGAGCATTAAAAAAAGCGAATATTACAAAATAAAACAACTTGTGTCTGTCAAAGGTTATAAGTTCATAACACTAGAAGAGAAAAACTAATGTAAAATATATAAACAAGCACTAATAATACAAAAGATAGGAAAGAATATCCTTAATTTCCATAGTTTTTAATAAATGGATAATATATGCGTATTTTTTCTAATTATACATGTGTTTCTAAAATGTAGACATGTATTTCTTACTGTCTGTATAAGCAGAGACTTGTAAGTAAATCAGTAGCACCAAAAGTATTTCTGTACCAGGAACAGAAAGGACTAATTAGCACTGACAGTCACAGATAATAATCAGGTAAAAAAGGAGTTCAGGAACTAATTCATATTTATGATCATATTCCTAATAAAAAAAAGAACAATTGTGCATTTCGGACATTTGATCAATAAAACAGAAGCTTGAAGTAGAGTGCTAACTAGGTAGAAATAGGCCCTCATCTCCTGATAAAGTTATTACCTAGTCTTATCCAATACAGAAATAAGAAGAAGAGTCCATGCATGTTTAATAATGTTAACACGTCAGCTCTATATATCACAGCAACAGAAAAACTGTCATGAAACTCCACCAATAGGAACTTAAAAATCATTTTGTGTGAAGACATTGAATTATCAAACAAAATTAAAAGTGAGGTTTCAGGGGTTTTTTAAAGGCATAAAGGCATCTAATGAGTAGAGTTTAATTGTAAACATAAAGTTCAACCTGATGGCCAGGATCTTTGGTTGGAATCTTCTCTAAATGTACAACAAAGTCCAGTGAATAGATAATAGCTATCAACAACCAGAATTTGCAGATTTGGAAGATGACTTTCTTTTTTATTATAAGTCTAATATGGTTAATAAATACTAGAAAAGTATAAAATTAGACTCTGCTGTGGAAAATATAAAATTCCCAGATCTGCAAAGTATAAGAAATAGGAAAAAGATGAAAAGAGATGTAAATGCCTAGGATCCAAAATTTGTAACCAGATTCAAGGCATGCTGATTTGCTATAGGAACCTTTTTTATATGTAGAATTTTCTTCTTTAAAAAATGCTAAAAAAAAAAAAAGGAAATCCTGTCACATTTGCAACAATGTGAATTAACATGGAGGACATAATGCTAAATGAAATAAACCAGGCACAGCAAGACAAATGCCAGGTGATCTCACATCTATATGGAATCTAAAGAAGTCTAATCCCTCAAAGCAGAAAATACAATGGAGGTTACCAGATGGTGGAAGGAAGAATGCATGTATCACTTAGGAGAAATAAGATCTGAAAATCTATGCTTCACCATGGTGATTACATTTAATAAGAATGTACTGTATACTTGAAAATTGCTTAGGGAGTAAACTGTTTTCACTACCAAAATGTAAGTATGTGAGGTGATAGATGTGCTAATTAGCTTGATTAAATTATTCCACAAAGCATACATCTATCAAAATATAATTTTGTACAACATAAATATATACAATTTTGGCAATTTCAAAACTGCCATAAAATCAAAAAGAATAATCACATGCTTAAAATAAAAATAAAA